GTGTTGCTTCTTAACAGCCATCTTTACCCTTTTTTTCCTAAAGGCAGGGCCCACCTCTCACAACAGAGACTGGAAGCACCACATGGCTACTTTCTCAGCCTCCTTTGCAGTAGGGTGGCCGAGTAATCTCATTTTGGTTAATGAAGCATAAGAAAAAGTCTGCTAAGAAACTCCTAGGAAAAATTTTCTTCTCTAATAAATAGAGCCACATAGAAGCAGAACCTTCTTTCCCACCACTTTGTCCTTTGGGGAGGTAAATGTCACTCTAAGACAACTTGGAGCTGCCACTGCCATCTTGAGACCATGAGGGAAAACACTGTTGACTCATTGTAGGTGGGAAGGCCAAAAAGGGGTTGGGACCCGGGAACTTGAACTACTGTACTAACCCTGTATTCACTCACTTCCCAACTTCTGAAGCAACTTAAGTGTCCATAGTTTTTCCCGAAAACTTTTGCTTGTTTATTTTGCTGTTTGTAGCTGAAAACATCCTACCTGCTAGGATGTCTGAATGTTTGAGTAGCCCTAAAATTTATGTATGGAAATCCTGACTCCTAAATTGATGGTAATAGTAAATGGGAAATTTGGGAGGTGATTAGGCCATGAAGAGTCCTAATGAATGGGATTAGCACCCTTGTAAGCGGCCTTAGCGAGGTCCCTTGCTCCTTCTGCCATGTGAGGACACAGTGAGAAGACAGCATCTATGAACCATAAAGTTAACCCTCACCAGATACAGAATCCACTGGTGTCTTGATTGTGGACATTCCAGCCTCCAGCAGTGTAAGAGATAAATTTTTGTTGTTTATAAGCTACTCAGCTGATGGTATTTTGTTATAGTCATACAAACAGACTAAAGGGCACTATTAATTCTTCCTTTTTTTTTTTTTTTTTAAGACAGGGTCTCGCTCTCATCTAGACTCAAAATACAGTGGTGCAATCATAGCTCACTGCAGCTTTGAACTCCTGGATTCAAGCAATCTTCCCACCTCAGCCTTCTGAGTCACTGGAACTACAGGCATGTGCCACCATGCCCAGAAATTTTTTAAAAATTTTTTATAAAAACAAGGTTTCACTATTTTGCCCAGACTGGTCTTAAATTCCTGGCCTCAAAGGATCCTTCCACCTTGGCCTCTCAAGGTGCTGGGATTACAGGCATGAGCCACCACACTGAGCCAGGACTATCTAATTCTATCCAGAGATCCTAAACCCTCTCCAGACCTCAGCACCTCCCTTCCCTCCTTCAGATGCCTATCCATTATTCAAAGCATAAATAGATCCAAGCAGTAAGTATTGCTTTTGAAGTATTGCACTAACTTCTGGGCCTCCCCGAAATTAATGAATGAGTACTGGCTCAACTTTCTGAAAGTTGCCTCCTGATTAAAGAAATGCCTAAAAGATAGGCAAGGTTTATCAGCGATCTTTTGCTATGTAACAAACCACCCTCAAAATGGAGTTGTTTAAAATGACCATTATTTTTTTGCTCACAATTTTGGGGGTCAATAATTTGGGCCGGGCTCAGCTGGGACAGCCCATCTCTTCTCCATATGGTGTCAGTCAGGCCGACTTTACATTTGCAATCTGTCGGCAGATCTCAGTTGGCAAGTCAGCTGCTAGCTGGCTGGTCCCGAACAGTTTTGCTCATGAGTCTGACAGCTGGGCTGTCCATGACAGCAACTTGCTACTCCTCTCTGGCCACTCCAGCAGGATAGCGCAGCTTCCACACATGGCAGCTGGGTTCCAAGAGTGTGAGAATGGAGGCTGCAAAGTCCCTTGAAGCCTGAGCTCTGAAGTCACACATCACTTTCATCATACTCTATTGGTCAAAGCAAATCACAAGCCCAGACTAACTTCCAGGAGTGTGGAAACAGGCTCCAGCCCTTCACAGGGAAGGAGCTTCAGATAATGTGTGGCCAAGTTTAATTTACCACTCAATGTACTTGCAACTCTCCGTTGTTAAAAATTGATAGCCAATGTAAATGTAATTCTCTAGCAGTAACAACAACAAAACTTTCTATTGTGCATACTGATCTTATAGGTACACCTGTTAATGTGTTTATGCAAGTAAAGATGTTGATGAATTAGGCGGGGAGGGCAGGTATTTTTATTCTCCAATTTGAGGGATGAGACTATAAAACAAAATTTAAAGTTCTTAGAAAACACATTTCCTTGTTTATTTCACAGAATATGTATTTCAAGATAAGTTAGAATTATTATTCCATGCCAGCCCAGATTACCTTTTGAAGATGTTATGGTGGTCATCACAATCATGGCTGCATCATTCAGTTTCCCAAGGAAATTTTGGGGAGCCTTTTTTTTTTTGAGATGGAATTTCACTCTGTCACCCAGGCTGGAGTGCAATGGCGCAATCTCTGCTCAGTGCAACCTCCACCTCCTGGGTTCAAGCCATTCTCCTCAGCCTCCTGGGTAGCTGAGATTACAGGTGTCCACTACCATGCCCAGCTAATCTTTTACTACAGATGGGGTTTTACCGTGTTGGTCAGGTTGATCTCAAACTCCTGACCTCAGGTGATCCACCCACCTCAGCCACCCGAAGTGCCAGGATTATAGGCATGAGCCACTGCACCTGGTCTGGGGAGCCTTTAAAAATATCAATACTCAAGCATCACCACAAAAGATTCTGGTGCAATTGGTTGGGGGTAGAAAAACCACTTACGTGATGTATGTCTGACTTTTTTGATTCTCCCCATATTCTACAAAGGATGGATGCTCTCTGAATCCCAGATTTGGGTCACCAAAGTTTTCTGACTTTTCTGTTGAGTTCCAAGCACAGCTTGGGTTCTGAGTCAAAATTACATTCCCTATGGTCATCTGAACCCAGAGGTTATTTACCCAGGCCCTGATAATCCTTCTAGAATCCGTCTAAATCCTCTGTTTAGTGGCTGCAACATGGTGGTGCATGGGTTTGAATGACCTGAGTTTTGTTTGGCCTGTTACACACTGGTGGCCCAGGCAATGCGTTTTAACAGGAAGTGGTGATTTAGGTGCCCACATTTATAAGTCAGGAGGTCTCACCTTGAGATCAGGGTTGAGGCTTCTCTTGAAAGTGCTGAAGACCTCAGAGCACACAGCAGAGCTAGCAGGCTCCAGTCAGCCTGACGCATACACCAGCATGGCTCCTTAAGCCTGTCAGCATTTGAGTTTGCACCCTTGGCTGGCTCAATCCCAATGACCATTTTACACCTGAAGATTGTGAGACTTACTATCTGGGGTGGAAGGGGAGCTGCTGAGATCTCTAGGCTGCACCTGGCATCACATACATGTTGGTTCCTTTGCTTTTCATGTCAACCCTGGGAGGAAAGCTCTACTAATTCCATTTATAGATGATGGAACTGAGTCTCAGATTTAGGAACTTGCCCATAGGCACATACAGCTGATAAATTTAAAAAAAAAAATGGAGCTGATATTTCAACTGAGGTCTTGTGAGCCTCCAGCCAGAGCTCTTTGTGCTCCTCCACACAGCGATTCTTGCCACCAGCCATGATGACTGCTTTCTTGCTTCTTACCTCTCTTTTCCCCAGCACTCTTTTGACCTCTGTATTACTGCATACCAGCATTTCCTGGCTCCTCTCTCTCTCACCTCTTATTGTCTGACCCTGTCAAGGAACTTACAGTTCCTGATGTGTCCCAAGGCCCATATTTCCATATCATACACCATATTACAGTCATAAAATAACTTGTTCCGCAGCAGGAAGGGGTCCAATTACAGCCCATGTAATTGGCAGAAGAGCATCATTCATCACGGTGGTCCTGGGATCGGAGGTCGTCGCAGCAATTCCATTTGCTGGACATTTTTCTGTTTGTTTCAGCCATGGTTTCATCACAGTCCTTTACAGATCCCAGTGGACCTGCCAGGACATTTCACAAGTTATCAAATACATGCATTAAGGATTGTTAATAGCAGCCAAGCAGCAGAAACTATGATGTGAGAATAAAATGCACAGCACAAAATGAAATTTGGAGTGACAGAGTGGAAAAGAAGGGATTATTTTTCTTCAAGCCACCCAATAAGCACAGAGCTAGGACCCAGTGGAGTTCCTATCTTGTATGGAGGAAATCTACATTCTATAAACCTGAAAAATAATGTGACAGAAGTCCCGTTGCCTGGCTCCTTGAACCAGTCTGTCCACATTGCACATAGGTTTTCTCTGTGCTATTAAAGAGGCAGCTGGTGGTTTTCTAGGGAGCAAGCGTACCCCTGTCAGTTCGGGGAGACAAATAAGTTAGCCCGGTCTTTACCATTTAAGGCATAATTTGATTTGTATTTGATGAGTCAACATGCCTCCCATTACAGTGGGACATATGGAAACAATTTAATGGAAGTATAGGATTTTATAATAGGCTAGATTAGGGCAGAAGACAATTTTCAAGGTGGAATATCTACTGCAGAGGTCTCATCCTGGGTGCCCACCTGCCGTCTGACTCACAGATGTTTTCCTCTGACCTACTCAAGGTCTTGGTGAAAATATGACTTGGTTACTAATACTGAAAAATCAAGTAATTTGGCCAGGTGCCATGGCCCGTGGCTCACGCCTGTAATCCCAGCACTTTGGGAGGCCGAGGCAGGTGGATCACCTGAGGTCAGGAGTTCAAGACCAGCCTGGCCAACATAGTGAAACCCTGTCTCTACTAAAAATACAAAAAAAAAAAATAGCTGGGCATGGTAGCAGACACCTGTAATCTCAGCTATTTGGGAGGCCAAGGCAGAAGAATTGCTTGAACTTAGGAGGCAGAGGTTGCAATGAGCCAAGATTGTGCCATTGCACTCCAGCCTGGGCAACAAGAGTGAAACTCTATCTCAAAAAAAAAAAAAAAAAAAAAAAAAAAAAAAAAAAAAAAAAATATATATATATATATATATATATATATATATATATATATATATATATATAAATTTTATTTTCTAGCTTTTCTTTAAAAAATACTTTACCATCAGTCACTGGCAAAGCCTGAGTCCCATCCTCTCACTCTCCTCCCAGGGCAGCATGAGCTTCACCACTCACTCTACCTTCTCCACCAACTACCTATCACTAGGCTCCATCCAGTTACCCAGCTACGGCACCCAGCTGGTCAGCAGCACAGCCAGCGTCTATGCAGGTGCCAGGGGCTCTGGTTCCTGCACCTCCATGTCTTGTTCTACTACCTTCCGGGGCAGCATGGGGGCCAGGGGCCTGGCCTCAGGGATGGCCAGGTGTCTGGCAGGAATGGGAGGCATCCAGAATGAGAAGGAGATCATGCAAAGCCTGAACAACCACTTGGCCTCCTACATGGACAGAGTAAGGAGCCTGGAGACCAAGAACCAGAAGCTGGAGAGCAAAATCCAGGAGCACCTGGAGAAGAAGGGACCCCAGATCAGAGGCTGGAGCCGTTACTTCAAGACCATCGAGGACCTGAGGACTCAGATCTTCTCAAATACTGTGGACAATGCCCACATCGTTGTGCAGATTGACAATGCCCATCTTGCTGCTGATGACTTCAGAGTTAAGTACGAGACAGAGCTGGCCATGCGCTAGTCTGTGGAGAGCGACATTCATGGGCTTCACAAGGTCATTAATGACATCAGTGTCACTTGGCTGCAGCTGGAGACAGAGATGGAGGCTCTCAAGGAGGAACTGCTCTTCATGAAGAAGAACCATGAAGAGGAAATAAAAGGCCTACAAGCCCAGATTGCTAGCTCTGGGTTGACCCTGGAGGTAGATGCCCCCAAATCTCAGGACTTCAACAGGATGATGGTCGACATCTGGGCCCAATATGATGAGCTGGCTCAGAAGAACCGAGAGGAGCTGGACAAGTACTGGTCTCAGCAGATTGAGGAGAGCACCACAGTGGTCACCATGCAGTCCACCGAGGTTGGAGCTGCTGAGATGACGCTCACAGAGCTGAGACGTACAGTCCAGTCCTTGGAGATCAACCTGGACTCCATGAGAAATATGAAGACCAGCCTGGAGAACAGCCTGAGGGAGGTGGAGACCCACTATGCCCTGCAGATGGAGCAGCTCAATAGGATCCTGCTGCACCTGGAATCAGAGCTGGCACAGACCCGGGCAGAGGGGCAGCACCAGGCCCAGGAGTACAAGGCCCTACTAAACATCAAGGTCAAACTGGAGGCTGAGATTGCCACCTACTGCTGCCTGCTGGAAGATGGCAAGGACTTCAATCTTGCTGATGCCCTGAACAGCAGCAACTCCATGTAAACCATCCAAAAGACCACCACCCACCAGAGAGTGAACAGCAAAGTGGTGTCTGAGACCAACGACACCAAAGTTCTGAGACATTAAGCCAGCAAAAGCAGGGAACCCTTTGGGGAGCAGGAGGTCACTAAAAAGTTCAGAGGTCAAAAAAAAAATTGGCAATCTGGCAATACTGGCCCAGATTCCCTGCAACAAGAGTTAGCCAGGGCTGAGGAGTGTCTGCCCCCATCAGACAAAAGAGAGCTGTTCTCTGCAGGTTGCCTCAGCCCCTCCAACACCTACCATCCCTCAACACTCAGGCCAGGGAGCAGTTGCCCATTTCCCTCATTTATACTTTCACACACATTTAAAAATTCACATACCTAAGGTCTTACATTTAATTCACTCAGCGGATATTTAGTGGGGCACAGACTCTGTGCTAGATGCTATTGAAGACACCAGAGATATAGCAGTGATCATAATAAACCAAAATTTTGACCCCATGGAGTTTTCAGTCTAGCAAGAGACACAGACAGTAAGCAAAAGCAGGAAAACATATACAGACCTACCCACAGATATTGCAGGTTCAGTTCTGGACTACTGCAATAAAGCAAATCTCATAGTAAAGCAAGTCCCATGAATTTTTTGATTTCCCAGTGCATATAAAAGCTATGTTTACATTATCCTGTAGTGTATTAAGTATACAATAGCATGATATATAAAAATACAATGTGAATACCTTAATTTAAAATTATTTATTTATTTATTTGATAGGATCTTACTCTGTTGCCCAGGCTGCAGTACAGTGGCACAATCTTGGCTCACTGTAACCTCCACCTACCAGGTTCAAGCCATTCTTTTGCCTCAGCCTCCCGAGTAGCTGGGAATACAGGCACCCACCACTACACTCAGCTAATTTTTATATATTTAGTAGAGATGGGAGTTTTGCCTTGTTGGCCAGGCTGGTCTCAAACTCCTGGCCTCAAGTGATCTGCCTGCCTCAGCCTCTCAAAGTGTTGGGGTTACCACCATGCCCAACTGAAAAATACTTTATTGCTAAAAAATGTTATCACCTGAGCCTCCAGTGACTTGTAATTTTTTCGCTGGTGGAGGACCTTTACAGATCAGGGTGGTGGTTGCTGAAGGCAGGGGTAGCTGTGGCAATTTCTGAAAATAATACAACAAAGTTTGCCACATCAATTGACTATTCCTTTCACAAAAGATTTCTCTGTAGCATGCAATGCTGTTTGATACCGTTTTACTCATAGCAGAACCTCTTTCAAAACTGGAATCAGTCCTCTCAAATCCTGCTACTGCTTTATCAACTAAGTATATCACTTAGAATATTTAACATTCTAAATCCTTTGTATTCATTTTAACAATAGTCACAAAATCTTCACTAGGAGTGGATTCTCAAGAAATCACTTTCTTTCCTTTTGCAACTCCTCATCTGTTAGAGTTTTATCAGGAGAATGCAATAATTTAGCCACCTCTTTAGATTTCACTTCTAATGCTAAATCTCTTGCTGTTTCCACCAAATCTTCAGTTACTTCCCACACTAAAGTCTTGAACCCCTCAAAGTCTCCCATGAAGATTGGAATTAACTTCTTCCAAACTCGTGCTGTTTATATTTTGACCTCCTCTCAAGAATCATGAATATTCTTAATGGCATCTAAAATGGTGAATCCTTTCCAGAAGGTTTTTAATATCCTTCAGCCAGATTCATCAGAAAAAATCACTATCTATGGCAGCTATAGCCTGTGAATTGTATTTCTTAAATAATAAGACTTGAAAGTTAAAATTACTCCTTAATCCATGGGCTGCAGAATGGATATTGTGTTAATAGGCATGAAAATGACATTAATCTCCTTGTACATCTTCAGCAGAGCTCAAGGATGACCAGATGCATTCTCATTGAGCAGTAATATTTTGAAAGGACTCTTTTTCTGAACTGTAGATCTCAACAGTGGGCTTAAAATATTTACTAAACCATGCTATAAACAGATGTGCTGTCATCCAGGTTTTGTTGTTCCCTTTATAGAGCATAGGCAGAGTAGATTTAGCATAATTCTTTTTTTTAATCCCACATCCCTTTATAATTAAAACCCTCAGCAAAATTGGCATAGAAGGGACATACCTCAAGGTAATAAAAGCTGTCTATGACAAACCCACAGCCAACATTATACTGAACAGGAAAAAGTTAAAAGCATTCCCCTTGAGAACTGGAACAAGGCAAAGATGCCCACTTTTACCACTTCTATTCAACATAATACTGGAAGTCCTAGCCAGAGCAATCAGACAAGAGAAGTAAACCAAGGGCATCCACATCGGTAAAGAGGAAGTCAAACTGTTTCTGTTTGCTGATGATATTGATCGTATACCTAGAAAACCCTAAAGACTCATCCAGAAAGCTCCCAGAACTGGTAAATGAATTTAGCAAAGTTTCAGGATACAAGATTAATGTACACAAATCAGTAGCCCTGCTATATTCCAACAGCAACCAAGCTAAGAATCAGATCAAGAACTTAACTCCTCCTACAATAGCTGCAAAAAAGTAGAACACTTAGGAATACACCCAACAAAGGAGGTGAAAGACCTTTACAGAGAAAACTATACACCAGTGCTGAAAGAAATCACAGATGACACAAAGAAATGGAAACATCCCATGTTCATGAATGGGTGGAATCAATATTGTGAAAATGACTATACTGCCAAAAGCAATCTACAAATTCAATGCAATCCCCATCAAAATACCATCATGATTCTTCACAGAACTGGAAAAAAAAATCTTAAAATTTCTATGGAACCAAAAAAGAACGTGCACAGCCAAAGCAAGACTAAGGAAAAAGAACAAGTCTGGAGACTTGTTCATTACTCAACTTCAAACTATACTGTAAGGTCATAGTCACCAAAACAGTATGGTACTGGTATAAAAATAGGCCCATAGATCAATGGGACAGAATAGAGAACCCAGAAATAAAGCCAAATACTTACAGTCAACTGATCTTCAACAAAGCAAACAAAAACTTAAAAGCGGGGAAAGAACACCCTATTCAACACATGGTGCTGGGATAATTGGCAAGCCACAAGCAGAAGAATGAAACTGAATTCTCATCTCTCACCTTATACAAAAATCAACTCAAGATGGGTCAAAGATTTAGCATAATTCTTAAAAGCCCTAGGATTTTTGGAATGGTAAACGAGCACTAAATTCAACTTAAAGTCATCAGCTGCATTAACCTGTAACAAGAGAGTGGGCCTGTCCTTTGAATCTTTGAAGCCAGGCATTGACTTCTCCTTTCTAGTTATGTTAGTGATGTAAGTCCTTTCTAGTTATATTAGTTATGTAAGTCCTAGATAGCATCTTTTCCCAACACAAAGGTGTTGTGACTACACTGAAAATTTTTGTTTAGTGTAGACACCTTCATTATTTGTCTTAGGTCTTCTAGATAACTTGCTGTAGCTTCTCCATCAGCACTTGCTGCTTCACCTTGTACTTTTATATTACAGAGATGGTTTCTTTCCTTAAACCTCATGAACCAACCTCTGCTATCTTCAAACTTTTCTTATGCAGCTTTCTCACCTCTCTCAGCCTTGATAGAATTGGAGAGAGTTATGGTCTTGCTCTGGATTAGCCTTTGGCTTAAGGGAATGTTGTGGCTGGTTTGATCTTCTAACCAGACCACTCAGACTTTCTCCGTATCAGCAATGGAGCTGTTCTGCTTTCTTATCATTCATATGTTCATTGGAATAACACTTTTAATTTCCTTCAAGAACTTTTCCTTTGCATTTATAACTTGGATAAGGGATGCAAAAGGTCTAGCTTTCAGCCTTTCTTGGCTTTCTGCATACCTTCTTCCCTAAGACTAATCATTTCTAGCTTTTGATGCACAGTGAGAGTTGTGTTACTCTGCCCTTCACCTGGATACTTAGAAGATATTGTAGAATTATTGATTGGTCAATTTTAATATTGTTGTTTTTCAGGAAATAGGAAGGCCCAAGGAGAGAGAGAGAGAGAGAGAGATGGCCAATCAATGGAGCAGTCAGAACGTACATGACATTTATGGGTTAGGTTCATCATCTTATATGAGTACAGTTCATGGTGCCCTAAAACAATTACAATAGTAACATCAAAGATCACTGATCACAGATCACCACAACAGATATAATAATAATGATAAAGTTTGAAATCTGAGAACTACCAAAATATGATACAGAGACACAAAGTGATTACATGCTGTTGGGAAAATGGTGCTGATGGACTTGCTCCACTCAGCATTGCCATAAACCTACAGTTTGTAATAGACAAAATATCTGTGAAGTGCAATAAAATGAATGAATCACAATAAAAACAGGTGGGCCTACAGTATAAGCAGTAGTAAGTACCATGGGGAAAATGAAACAGGCAGAAGAGCAAGAGAGTACTGGAGAATTATAATTTTAAATCAGATGATGTGCAAGGTTTCGCTAAGATGAGTGGCATTTGAGCACAAGCCTGAAGGATGAGAGAGAGGGAGCCATAGCCATATCTGGGGGAGAGCTTTCCAGGCAGGATGTGCAAAGACCATAGCATGTAGGGCCAGGACTGGGACTTAAACAGGAGCCATAATCCAATTAGAGTCTATGCCACTGCCCATTAACCCTAAGCAGTTCCAGGATATGCTTTTCCAAAACTCCTATCAACTGACTTTTCATGGAAACCCAAAACACTCTAAGTGAAAATCCAGATTTATGCCAAAGACAAAATGGAGAGGTATTATTCACTTTACACAAGACCTCATAATAGGAGCCTTTTATTCAGAAAACTCCCCAGGAACATACAAAATGGTTTTAGATTTAGAATTGTGATTCTTATGATTTTTCAGCAATCCATTTACCAGACAAAGCAAGGAACCCCTACAGTGTGGATGCATTTAGTGTGATTTAGCCATGCTCCCTCACTGAGTCCTCAGGTCTCCCCCATACTTTCTTTGCAACCTGCCCAGCTAAGGTTAGAAGCCCTAACCCTCAGGGGAGGCCAGCACTAAGAGACTAGGGTGAACTCCACAGTGCTGGGCTGCTACTGCAAGAGGCGCTGGGCACTGACGCCCCTGGCTATGGTTTTAACT